AACTTGAACAAAAAGAAATTTACTAACCCTACTTATAAAGGTATTTTACTCTACATATCAAACTAAAGTGCTCTGCGTGGGAATGGCTTCGAAAGGTTTCATTCCCTAAAAGCATCAAAAGGGATTTCTAAGCAGCAGAAGTGTGTGACGTGAGGGACACAAGCTGTAGGTAGAGAGAGTGCAGGAGGCCTTTGGCCAGCACTATCTGTCATCTGTTCTGCTGTTCTGTTGAAGCAACAGGGGAAATGCATTAAATAGAAATAAGGGAGGGGGCAGAATTTGGGTAACAAATTAAACAGGAAATGGAATCTTCAGATTATCTACAAACCTTTAGCAACCATAATCATGGTAGCAAATTACAATCAAGACATGCCATACTGTACATTTCCTGGAGTGCTTTTTATGTGAATTTAGCATAAATCTAGCCATCAGCCTCCACAGCATGTCATGCTTGTTTTCAAAGCCAGGCTAAGGAACTTGTCCTAGTTGTGTTATTTTTCTCCAGTACTGGAATTAATTTACTTTTAAGTTCAGATGAATCAGATGATGAATTTTAACAAGCCAGTGTTCCCCCCAAGCAAAATGCAGAGCTCATAAACCCCCATTTATCCAGTGATCAGTTTTTATTTCTCCATGGTGAATAATTCCAAAGACAGACCATGAAGCATTAGCTCAGTGTCAGCTGTATGCAGTAGGAGCAGAGGGCAGTCAAGAAAGAAAGGTCCAGCCCATGTGCCTTGGATGGACAGCTTGTGTCCATCATTTCTAAAAAATCACTGCCCTTTTGTCTCAAACTCACATGCTGCCAGATCACTTGGGTTATATGTAGAGAAGTCCCTGTCGATAATTCCACAAGGCAAACAGAGTCTTGTCCAGAGTTCTGCCTCTTGTCTTTCCTGCTGCCACTCCCCTGTCTGCAACACAATGTTTATCCCATTTGCTCAGTGTGTAAACCATTTGCCCCAGCACATCCAGCTGCCAATATATCCATCACTGCCAACAGCTAAGGAGGAAACAAGGATCTCAGAAGGCTCCTTAAAGCTACCTCAGAGTCTAGATTGCTCTTGGTTTATCCCACAAATTGGTGAATGGTCCTGGGGAGAAGAGTACAAAGGTCTGAGAGGCTCTTTCATCTCACCATCCCTTCTGCTTTTGTTGCACAGGGGAAAAAAGAATGTCAAGGAGCCTTTCCTTCCCTTCACGACTTCTTCCCTTCTGTGCTATGCAGTGTAGACTGAACTGAAGGCAGAGGAAATGTTTAGGACTGAACCCACTGCTGAGCACTCGCTGCCAGTCTGCTAGGATTCATTACTATCTTATGCCAGTATCTCTCACACTTCAAAACCCACAGAAGTTGCCCTGTCCCTTGGCACTCTCCCAGTAATCCACCTTTTTCCACTGTCTGGGAACCTACAGGACGCAACACACTATATCCACACAGAGAGTGAGAAGCACTCATTGTTTTCTACTAAAGGAGTTACTCCTTCAGTTTGAATAGCAATAGCCATAGGTTTGGTTTGGGGTTCAAACCCTGATCACAACACATCTAGGAGCTATGACCTCCATTGGGCTGCAGAACTCCTGGAAAAATGGCCAAAATCCTTGTGCCACACTTAGATAAAACTGTCAGATAGAAGAGAGTGCACAATCCAAGAAAGCAGCTGTAGGAACCGCAAGCAATTGCCTCAGCCAGAGCCCTGATGAATCATAGAATCATAGAATCAGCTGGGTTGGAAGGGACCTCCAAGATCATCAAGTCCAACCCTTGATCCACTACTGCTGTGGTTGCTAGACCATGGCACTAAGTGCCACATCCAATCTCTTCTTAAAAACCTCCAGGGATGGAGAATCCACTACTTCCCTGGGCAGCCCATTCCAATGTCTGATTACCCTCCCTGTAAAGAAATTCTTTCTAATATCTAACCTAAACCTCCCCTGCCACAACTTGAGACCATGCCCTCTTGTCTTGCTGATAGTTGCCTGGGAAAAGAGACCAACCCCCACCTGGCTACAACCTCCTTTCAGGGAGTTGTAGAGAGTGATGAGGTCTCCCCTGAGCCTCCTCTTCTCCAGGCTGAACAACCCCAGCTCCCTCAGCCTCTCCTCATAGGACTTGTGCTCGAGTCCCTTCAACAGCCTAGTTGCTCTCCTCTGGACCTGCTCCAGGACCTCAATATCCTTCCTGAAAGAAGAAACTGTACAGCCACTCTGGCAGATGCCACATGAGCAGAGACAAAACAGATGACAAAGGTGCATGTGTGCTGGGAGGGGGGAGCTGAAAACAGAAGAGGGGTTAAAAAAAAGGTTAAGGTTTAAAAGAAGCAAGGGAATCTCAAGTAAGGAGCCAATATATTCCATTAATTTGAAGAGATCAGAGAGATCTCAAAGGACAAGTGCTACAAATATCTGGTCCTTTGTTTTAAAGCAATGTCTCTTCAGTCAGTAACTGCGTATTTTGGCTCTGCCTGGCTATGCTGTTCATGCACCAGCAGGCACTCTGTCTCCATTGATCCCAGTCAAGTTTATAATCAGAGGGGTTGGACTAATATAATGAAGTGAGCTTCCCCATGCTGAGCAGAAGCCTTTTTAGCACTTAGTGAAGGAGAATTCATCCCACCAACTGCTCAGAACAGCCACTGCACTGTCCTCGCTGAATTAATTTGTGCCTCCTCAGTCAGGCCACCTTTGAAACATGTTAAGTGGGAAAATCTGACTTCTAGTGGACAAAAAACTAACAGCTCTAAATCTGAAACTAAAAAATTCATACAGGAGAAGGAGTCCTTGTGAGTAATGAAAAGCCTGATCATCAAATTGTTCATAGTTAATTTGCAGTCAACATGATTTTGGTTGTTGTGTTTGACTGCATAACACCCAGCCCAACAGTGCCCTTCAAGAATTAGTGCACTACAAATAATGCATGACAACAGTACTCTGAGCTCAGTCCAGAAACAATATCTAGTTTCCTCTGCCTTGTGCAGGCAGCAAGCATGCCATAACTGTGCTGAACACTGGTGTTACTCACTGTGTAATCTCATATCACCGCCTTTTCTGAAAATCAAGATGAGAACAGACCGCTAAGCATGGCTATGAAGTTTTCCTTTTTCGTATACAAAACCTGTAAAAGTCTTTCTTTTTAATCTACAAGAATATAGGAAATAGTAAAACCTAGTAATTTAGAATTTAGATATATTTTAAAAAATATCCATTTAAGGGGAACTAATCCTGAAAAAAATTAATATTGGTAAGTAAAAGCAATATAATGTTCATCCAAAAAAGGTTAGAGAAACAGTTTGGAAACTCCTTGAATTTACTTGAGTCTAAAATTGAGAAGGGTGAATATGCAAGATTTGTGTTCTACAAGATTTGTGTACCTGTGTTCTATAATTTTTTCCTTCTAGTATCTTGACATATCTGAGAGATTTCCTTTCAGTATCTGTTACAGCAATTTAATACATATCGTGGCTACTCCCTGTTCTCATTTTTGCATTCTCTGTTGTACTGTTGTCACTTTGCTTCATGCTGAAGAATAAGACCGAGGACTAAATGTGAAAGTGAAGGAGAGTGACAGTGATCTTATGAACCCCACTATACTGCAGAAATTTTATTTTCAGAGGTGCTAGCTACCAGCAACCTCTATTGACCTCTTCTAAATTGTGGGCATGCTCATGATGTCTGATATTCAGAAGCAAGTAGAACAATCTAAGTAATTCCAGATTACTATGTTCATATGTTATTATTTCAGATTACAGTTTTAAATAAAGAGGTTGAAAATGGAGCTGCCAATAGCTAACAGCTCTGCACTAAGTGCATGCCTATCTATCTACCTGTAACCAGCTTCCAAGAGTGCACAAAAAAACCACAGCTTGCCAGTTAGTAAGGGTCTTATTGGTTCTATCAAACCCCAACAGATGTATCTGTGGAGGAGGGCCAAAATCCATTAGATCTAGCAAGGGAGAAAAATTGGATGAAGAAACCCATATCAAAGCACGTTTCACTATTTTAACTTGAGATACCTGGAAGATAAGTTCTGAAGTGAGAGTAAATTTAACATTCTACAGCAAGTAGAGTCTTCAGCTGAGATGAGCACAGCATGAGACTACTACCTTGAGAAACAAACCCAAACATATCACTGCTCTGACACCCACCATCTCACCAGCCACCTTTCCCTGCTTGCTACTCTAATTCTGCACCTTCATCCAGTAAGACATCACATTAGTGCTCTTTCATATATATTGCTGCTAATTAAATGACAGAAACATGTAATTTAGACTAGTGTTGAAGCTAAGTCAGATTTTGTCCTAAAGTGACATAGTAGAAAATTTGCAAACTCTTAGAAACACCGAGCATTACCAGAGGAATAGTTACAATGATATCCTGCTGAGGGAATACTGCACTGTCACAACTGTAGAAGTGTATCAGCATTGTATTTCCAGCTAATACAATTGCAGTAAAGATATACCAAAAAGCTCAGGCAAGACTAGCTAAAGCACTGGTCAGCAGATTCTATGGTCCAAAAAATGTGTCCCATGAAAACGCAACCCCGCCCTCTATGCTGTTAGGTTGGTTGTTTTTTTCCTTGTTTCTGACTCAGGCAATACTTGCCAGTAAAGCTGCCATTTTGCCTGCTGCATTGCAAAATCCCTGCTTTCTACCATTCCAGAAGATCCTATGCAGGCTCTAATAATCAAGCAGTTCTCCGTTATCAACAGTTATTTTATTGTTGTCAAAAGCTACAGAAAATATTGGGCAGCCAAATGCATAAACACGTAAAAGCATCAGTAAGTCTAAACCCAGGTCAAAACAACCCTCCTCAGGAAACAGGATGTACAGTGTTTTCCTGTGCATCTTTTAGCCTCTTATCTCCACTGTGATCACATTCAATACTGTTGTCTGTTGTAAAGACTAGTTAGAGGAACTTCTGAATAGCTTCCACTGAGAGGAGAAATATTAACTGGGAGTGTTTCAATTTTCTTAGTTTGCATGAGAATAACAAAATTTACCTTGTCATAATAGTATCTGAGCGCTCGGCTCAGCTTGTCATAATTCATATTAGTTTTGTTTTTTCTGAGTCCCCACAGCTTAGCCACTTCTTCTGCCTTGAGTAGCTTGAATTCGCCATCATTAGACGTCCAGCAAATCAGGTGCTCATGTTTCTGGTCTAGCAGCAACTGCAAAAGGAACTGCCACAGTGTGATTGCACTCTCCATACCTATAAGGGACAAAGGAGAGCAACAGTGTGAAAAACATCTGGGAGCAAGTGTTCCACCCAACACTCGTTTCAGTAATAAGCTCTGTGTAGGAGTCATCCTACGTAACTGAGAAAAGGGAAGCTACTATATAATTTACAACCAAACATCCACAAAACCTACAGGTCTTCCACTCATTTTTCAGTATTTTTTCCCACTGCTATTTTCTGAAGGAACACATAAAATAGAGGAAGTATTTAGAAAAGCACTGCCCACATCGTTCACGTGGTACAAGGTCATCTCCAGTTGGTGTCTTCCATTCAGTGTATGCAATCACACTTCAAAGGAACATATGGGAGAGGGAAAAAGACTTGATGTAACTATCCACTGAAATGGGACTGAAAACCTGCTCTTTATTGTCATGGGGAGTGTACTGAACTTGTTCAGGTACGTCACTGTGAAAAAGGGGCAGACAAGGGAAGACCAGAGCAGTTGCCTTTGATTAGAGGACCAGAAACCACACTCATTCCCCCCTCCCACCAAACACACTTGTCTTACCAGTATCATATAGCCTTTGCCTATTTTATTTTTTCCAGGGCCTGAAATTACTCTTGCTGCTTCTGTTTGCCAGTTCAAATAGCTCAAAAGATATTCTTTATTTGTCAGGAATGCTGAAAGTTCAGTACCCTTAAGCACAGTAAAATAAGTGATATTTACCCTGAACCTCTCTCTAACAGGGATCTTTTATTATCATACATACCACTGAGAACTATATTGGAGGAATATTTTTAACAGTGCCTGAGTCTCATGTCTAAGATTGTTTGAATATTTTTTTTTCTCTGCTAACTGCCTGTGCTACTGAGCCCTTCCTAGAATAAACGTTTTGTTCAGGCACCGCAATAGAAGAATAAACTGAAGACTGGCTATATTCAAACTCAGCACAGGCATATACACAACTTAAAATCTGGGATCATTATCACTGATAACAATTTTTCATTTTAATGAAGATGCAGCTAAAATTGACCTTTTAAACTAGAGAAATACAAAAATAAATTTTCACCCACTTTCAACATTCCTAGCCTTCACATGTTAACATTGGATCAAATAATTTTTTCTTGGCCTCTTCTGATTCTTAATTTGGACATGTTATGTTGCACAGATTTATTGCTGGTATTGCTGGGTTAATTGACTATGGTGCTAATGGGGCTAATTATAACCTAACCTACCTCTCTGCATGTAACAATGGATATTTTTATTTTTATCTAGACAAGCTCACGATTTTTAATGCCCTTGCTCATTTTGTTTACCAATATATTATTGTTTGTGTCCTAACAGATGACATGGACAGGATGCCAGGCTTGCTGCCTGACGCTTCCCTGGATGTGAGGACCACAAGAGGGCACAAGACTTCCAACTATCTACCATAGGGAACAAAACAGCAGGCGGCTGCAGGAACAGCTGCCTCTCCAGGTCTGCCCTAGCACAAAGGAAATCACGGTGCATAAGGTTCACTAGTATAAAGAAACATAAACTGCATAAACTTCACTAGTGTAAAACAGGTTAATGATACTAGAGAACGCTGTCAATAGTTTTACAGAAAAACAGGATTTGGAGCTGTGTTTTGGTCCAAATAATTACTAACTGGCCAAACAAGGCTTTCCAGAATTAATGATGGTTTTACTATCTCTGCAAAATCCTCAGTTCCCTAATTAACTGAGAATCCCGTCTGCATGACAAGGTCAAAACCACCTATTCCTGATGCCCAGCTGTATGACAGAGTAACTACACAGCACCTCCAGGGGTCATTAGAGGACTCCCAGGACTGTTATGGATCCTTGAAACACAACTGCCTATATGGATGGTTTGGCACTTTCAAAGGTTTGCATTTGCTTCACTGCAATTCTATTCAAATATAATACAAATTATACAAATTTCATACAAATCCTTTTCCACATAGTGTAAGGCAAGAAGAAAAAACTATAGCTAGAATTAAATATATCTGAAAATTACTCACTTTACAGTCTTTAAAAGTTCCTTTAAACTACACCATCTGAGCAAGTATTAACCTCTTTCGCAGATGATTTATCTATAACTTCATAGATAATAAAGTGTCCCTATACAAAGACGCACATCATATATACATACTTTCTAATTAATATTTATAAATTTTGCAATTTACTTTGCTAAAAAAGTGTAGTTACATACAACTATATTCCTTCAAAATAATCCTAGTTTCTGTATATCATGTATTATGCAGTGATACCCTGCACAATCTCAGCTTGTATCATACCACACTTCTAAACAAGAAATCACAAACGGAACTTTTTTTGCCCTGGAAAATCATTAATAACTTATAAGTATCTTTCTTCAAATTTTCATTAAATTGTGTACAGGTGTTCCATGCTACAAAGACCTGTCAGTAGAACTTCAGCTGAGGAAAATAAAGATGGAAGAGAATTATAGAAGCACCAATACAAATTTCAGCACTATATCATTAACCAAAACAGTATAATGCCTCAGAGACACAACTCTCTCATCCAGATCTTAAACTACACCTTCCTTCAAATGATCAGCAATTGTGTCTCTTGAGAGAGTTTAGGCTGGAACTGAACTCAAAGGGAAGAGCATTTTGCTGCAGCTTCTCCATCCCAGTTCACCTCTGCCTAAGAACACTCATAGGGTAACTACGGCTAACTTTGTACTACACTTTCTATTACGAGCCTGTTTTCTGATGCTTATCATTTGTAAAATGTAAACAGTTTGGGATTCCATTTTATCTACTGAACATGGGCCTCAAGGTGACTCAGCCATAGGCATAATGTAAAACACATGAACAACACAAGCCTGGGTGAGAGCATCCTACTGGAGTACTCACTCCACAGATCACATGTCCTGGTGAGTAAGGAGATATGACTTCCATCAGGTTGTTACATAAAAGGTTACTGCCGCCTTTTTCAAAGTGGTTCATTTCTTCAGCCAGCTGAGATGCACACATAATCTCCGGGGGTCACTTCAGGTGCTGGATCTAGGGCAGATGGCTGTGGTGGAATTAGATTTAGGCAGCTCCTCACCACCCTGCTTGCCTTACCATCAACTCTTCCAAGTGAATGGCTCTGAATGGGCTTTATAAAGGACCTGTGTACCTCAGAATTCAGCATCGATGTGCTTAGTTGGTATATGCATAAATCTTCTACTGGGTATGACCTAAGTCTGCCCCTACAGAAATGAGATTAAAACAGCTCAGTGCTGCATTGTGCTTCATCCCTCCATCTGCCACCGAGTTCCTGCATAAAGCTTCCCATAGTGCTGGTATAGCAACTATATGTATGATTCCTACATGAGGCAAATCATGCTAATTACATTTTCAACTGATCATTAATTGTATGGTCCTTCTCTTCTAAGCACCAAACTTGAGGCGTTGGGGTCTGAGTTGCACTGAATATTCACGGCTGTAACTACCTTTAACACAAGCCTTGTGCTAAGCATATATGGTGAAGTAAAGCCTCACATTCCTTAAATTGTGTAAACTGGTGTTAATCTTTGCATCTCATTTCCATTCTGTAAAATGTGATTTGCAGGGGAATAGTTATAGCAGGATGCTCTGCCTGGAATGGGGTAAAACAAATAGAACAATGCTCTGTTTGCAAATCTATTAGTGGTGAATGGAGAGGGGTGCTTCATGCTGCTTTTGGTGTTGAATAATGCTGAAACCAGACTGTATCATCAATCCCAAAGTTAAACATCTTGATAGTGAGGTGAAAATGTGGCAGACAAAGTACCCGATAAAGGAACAAACAAGTGATACTACTGATAACTTACCTAAAGCTGCTGAGATGACACAGCTGGCCCGGAGACATCTGATCACTTTGTACTATAAAAGCCCAGTCATACCTTTTAAGGGCAGAGTTTTCCTTCTTGGAGTGTGTGTCTCTTGAGTGGGGATGCCCCTCAAGGTTACTCCTCGAGGCAGAGCAAAAGAGAATTGCCCACAATTGTTGGTATGGGTGAGTAACTTAATAATTGTTTTTTGCCAGCTTTAATATAATCGCTTCAATATTGCTTCAAAATAGTGCACTATACTAGTAGTTATAGCTTCTATACTGTGTAGTAAATAATCCTGATTTAAGATCTTTTTGTCTAACTGGTATCATAATATATATAACTCATTTTTCTAAAAATATATTTAGTATAAAGGTCTAATTACACCTATATAATCCTTTAGAACTGTTGACAAAGTCTGGGGCTGAGACTGGATCCAGCCATACCTAGACTCTTCTCTGAGGAGTTTAGAAAGCAAGGGGGTCCTTTCTGCACCCTGTGACTCAGCTGGAGGGCTTCTCTCATAAACTTTGCCTGAAGCTCCCATCCTGCCTACGACCAATTCCCATTCTTCCTGTGACAACAGAAAAAATCTAAGATTCTGTGGTGACAAGATTGTTTTACTGACGCAAAACATTTCATTTCCAGTTAAGTCAATAAAAGTATTAACCTGTCTTTCTCTACAGGCACCCTTTTGGGTTCCACAACATATTAACTATCCTCTTGAGAGGACAGCATGGCCACAGTGTACTAAGGCTTAACTTGTGCCTCATTTGAGTGGTGGAGCAAAAGAATCACATGACATATGTATTAGAAGACATGAAATTTAACCAAAAATCTGGTACCTGTATTAAAAGTCATTATACATTATGATTGGGAGGAGTTGGAAATCTTCAGATAACATTGTTTCATTTATGTATTCTCTAATTCTTTTGAATTTTTACTGACTCAAAGGGAATTCAGTGTCTTGCCTTAGTTTGACAGAAAGGGGTGTTAGGATGTGGTCATTTCCTACAGTGACCACATTTCATTCAACTCTTTACTAATACTAAATGGTAATAATAATAATTCCTGTTACTTCTGTGCTCAGTACAAGAATTGAAGATGGGGCAATAAATAATACATGGAACCACACACTGAATTACATGGATTAGAAGAAAAATAGTTTTATATAGGCCCTTATTTAGATAGTGACACCCATCAA